TCCTCAGTAGTTCTTAGTTATCGCATGCTTACCTACAACTATGAATAAAAATACATGATGAAGTGCAAGTGAAATCATCTATTAGGATAAAAGTAAAGGAGGAGGGAAAATGAGGGTAGAGATTATGGGGGAAAGAATTCTATGAAATACAAGTGTATGAAATTTCTACAACTATGTAAATTTGGTATTTTATAGTTTATATTTTTGAAATTTGATCCATGTACAAAATATGGTATGAGCATATCTATACCCATTATGCCCCACTGGTTCATCTTGGGACTTTCCAGTAAGGCTCTGTCAATCTAAGTGTCCTCTCTTGTTTCCTTAACTAATAGCACTATGAATCCAATCAACTCTGTCTATATACACATAGATAGAGTCTTAAAATAGTATACCAGAAAGAAAACTGGTTCTTGAAAGAAAGTGAATCCCTTATGAGAAATCACAATTAAAATCAAGAATCTCCATAGTCAGATGAAGTTCTACACCGCTAAAATTGGAGTTCGTCCTTAAACAATAATGAAATCTTCTGGGTATAAATATAAACACCAGGACAAATGCAGTACATAAAATCAGGACATCACAACGCATTGAAGGACACTCATCCTTTAAACACGAGAAAGGACCATGAGTAAGCTGATCTTTGCTGATTTACAGGGCATGGGGAATAGATGGAGGGGGCCTGCGCATCAAGATCTCATATTTCACATTGTGAGAACTCACCTGTGAAGAACACTGCAGTGGTGTAGTGATGAGGATGTCTCATTTTCTCTCTTAGTTGTCCTGAGTGAGAATGAGGACAGTTTAGATTTAAGGTACTCTCTTCTAAACTCTTTTCCCAAGACACTAAAACCACATATTAGGCTAGGCATTACCAATTTGACTAAATACATTATTTAGTCAAACATGAAATCCTAAATTCAACAAAGGACAGATTGTGTGATCATCCCAATTTTCTTCGTCTCTCTCCCCACTGAGGTATGGCTTCACAGGGTAGTGTATCACACCTTGGGACCAGGTCTCCCATAGCACAGCTACAAGGAAACAGCATTGTGGCTGGCACTTCAAGGACTGAGATCTCAGGTCACTGTACAATATTGCACTTGTGAAAACCCCTACTCTTGTGGAAAGACGTAACAGATACGGTTAGATACTGCTTCTGGTGGATGAGAGGATGATGTCTATTTGAAAATTGTTGCCTTCTTATATGTGTGTGGATGTTTGTCCTTTCTATAAGGTTCAAATCTGATGACTAAAACATATATGTGCAATATTACTAAACAAAGAACTTTTACTATACTAAGACTGAAGTCTTCTCACAGTAGCTACACCAAGTGTATTGCATTGTCTTTGCAGTTATTTGAGGTCAGGACAGGAAAACTTTGGGTCTCAGAGGACTCCCTCACTCTACAGATCTTTGTGTCTCCTGCTACATTTTCTTTTCTGGTGAGTTCTGCAGTGCCCTCTGCTGATCCTGAGCATCCTCAAAATGAGGTTGTTTCTGAGAACACAGGGAACCTGCTAATTGTGTTTGCTGCAATGTAATGCAGGGCTAACTTCAGTGGTAGCAGATTTCAGACTTAGGGAGAATTGGTCATTGAATGTGTCCATTAACACACTGAAGGATTTCTCAATGACAGCTTTACACTTTCTGCTGAGACCTGATATTGATGAGAGTGTTTGGGTTAAAAGGAGGTCTCAGAATTCTATTGGAAAAGAAAAACATTTAGTTTTTTGTTTCAATTAATTAAAGTTGAAGAAAAAGAGAAATTTATTTTCAGAGGAAAAGTCCAGATTGTTTCTGGGACTGAGGTACACACCAATATAGACAGAGCCATGTCAGATATGAATTTTTTGTAGGTTTAATCCCTGAGCCTTGATTGCCTGTGAGCTCCTATCTGAATCCCAAAGATTAAACATAGAATCTCAGTAATGTGCTGTCTCTCATCAGAATGAAATCAGGTAACCTCATCATTGCTCAGTGATTAACACTGGTGACAATGGCAGGGTTATTTCTGCTCATATAAGTAACAAACTGCACGGGTAATTATGAATATGTGTACTTATAAAGAAAACAGCCACTTCTAAAACATTGTTCAATTTTAATAGGTCAACATATAGAGGTTTGGGGTTTTTAAGGGAAACAGTTAGATTTGGGGGAAGTTCAAGGTCCCAAAGAAAACAAATGCTTAGACACTCTCTGCTCCTGCTCCTGGGGTGATCTTGAGTTCCAGCCAGCTGTGGAACTCCTATGGAGATAAGCTCAAATGCTCTTCCTGAGCCTACAGCTCGAGTGCTGTTTGCCAGACCATGGTGTCCCTCAGTATGGACATCACAGCATATGTGGCTGTCACTTGTAACACATAAGGCAGTCTTGAGGACAACTCTTCCTCAGATGGGTTTCTGAAGGTGAGGATGAAACTGAAGAAGAATGACCTGTTTTCTGTGACTGCATGATAACCTCATTCTCCCAGGACCACAGCCCCTTTTCTGGGACAAACTCAACCCTATTATGTATCAGAGTATGACGGAGTAAGCAGGACCAGTGCAGTTAAGGCCAGGTCTCTGAGGGCTTCACCAGGACAAGCGTTGGCATCTGTAGTGGTACCTAAGGACAAGGACAATTGGCCCCTGTCAGGCACAAACAGTGAAAAGTTCTGCAGTTTTCCTGGCAATAACAAAGGATCTAAACATTGTGACAATTGCAGAGTCATTTCTGATAGTATAAGTTACCATGTGCCTTGGAAAAAAGCATCAACATATGTTCTCATAAAAACATGCCCAGAATGCATTTGTATTTGGACATGTCAATGTATAGTTGGCTTCTTTTAAATATGGCCATGTGTGACTCATGAATGGCAACAGACACTGATACTGACAACCTGTCACCAGACTCATGAATTGACCCAACAGTATTACTTCTAAACAACACCCTGCAAGTCTATCTGAGTAGATTGCTGGTACCAGCCATGTAGGGAGTCTCCAATTTCCCCTGGAGATTAGGAGCATATTTTCATTTTGGGAGCCACATAATTACAGGTGGGAATGAACAGAACCCAGATTCTCCTGGTGAATCTATGATGTCTGCTGTCATCATTGTGCTTATATAGGATAGTAAAAGAAGCATTTTGAATTAGGCATAGGATTGTAAATGTTCTGTCACATAATTGGTCAAGAGAAACCACACTCACCAGAAATCATTCCTTCTATGATGTCATCGATATTATACATGCAAATTCATATTTGTTGGTGGAGGGATTACCTCTTAGAGAAACATGAGTAACTGAAGTTGTGTAAAGAAACATCTCACATATATTAATTTAAGGATTCCTTTGCACCAGGTCCGACCTATTTAATTCTTCAATTTAGCAAATCCATGTGTTCTACAGTAGCAGGTGACCCACATGGAACCCATGAATGGGAGAGGTGATGGTTGTCAGTGCAGGTGTGTGCTCTGTGAAAGACTTGAGCTGCACACAGAGTATCAGGAATGGAAAGGCTGTGAATATGGGGTAAAGGATCAACTGTAAAATTCCAAACTCTCCCTCAATTCTGCCAGTAAAATGAACCAGATCTTCAAATAAATTATGTGAATGTAAATAGCAGAGTAAATTAGCTGTCCTACAGGAGTTATATTTAGAAATTATTTCTTTCATGTTTTTCAGTATATTTACTTCTCTTTTTGTGATAGGTTTTTATCCAAACACACATGATTCCCATGAAAACCCTAAAGTGGAAACCATAATACACAAATGAAGAACCAGTATGAAAAGTCAAATAAACATACAAAAGCAAAGCCCTCGTTTAACACTACAAGGCAAAGAACCACCAAAGATGCCACTGAGTCAATTTTGTGTAGGCCACTTACTGCTTGCCGCGGAACTATACAAGACAGTCGTCTGTTTTGAAAGTGACATTCACATGAAGAAAATTAAATTTTCATTTGCAAGTGGCTAACAGAATTTCTACATGATCAAAATGTCTTCTCCAAAATATACTTCCAATATTCTTAGAAACATACACTCAGATTATGACCAACATAGGGTGATTTGGATCCTTGTTGTCAACTTAAAAGTGCTCAATCTTTGATTCTTGGAGGCAGATTCACAGGGAATTTTCTGAATATAATGAGAATGGATTCACAACCAAAGGAAACCAGACCAGGATCTGAGAATCAACAGTAGAAGCTCACAGGAATGACACACTGTCCAGATCACACAGCAGTGATCCCTTAGCTCCAGATGAGCAGCTGAGCTCTGAGTTAGTGCACAGAGTTCAGAACTAGAATTATCTAATTCAACAAAGTGCAGAAAACAGCATGATGAATTCTGTAATGAAAATATTTTAATTAATATAACAAATCAATCACTTCTTAGACTTATATGCACAGCCCTCCAGAAGAGGAGTGTGGTTTGGACAACTCAAGGTGCTTACTGTGACTGAGTTGACTCCCCTTCCACATGGTTACTTCTGATTTACTAACAGTGCTTGAGTGTAGGATCTGTCCCAACCTCCATATGAGGGAAAAGTCCACCTGAGGTTCCTGAGCTTCCCCAGCAGCTAATACTGGTGACCACAGAGAAACACTATGCATTTTGTTCAAGTGGGAATATTAAATATTTGTTTTAACAATGTTGGTCAACACAGAACACATCGATTTCAAGGCATGATCAATTCCTAGGGTATACAATTGCCAAAAGGATCCCCCAGAAAACATGAAAATAGAGAGTGCACCCAGATAAAAAAAATAATCATTTATGTAATAACCGGGCTTTCTGTGTGCTGAGCGCCCCCTGCTGGCTTCGTAAACCTGGGAGGGAAGATTTTTTCTGTGCTCACACTGAAGATTCCTCACTGTGTCATTAGTACAGTAATACGTGGCCGTGTCCTCAGTTCTCAGGTTGTTCATTTGCAGGTAGACCACGCTTTGGGAATCATCTCTGGAGATGGTGAATCTGCCTTTCACCGAATCCACGTAATAGGTTGCATAATTATTGGGTTTAGTTCTTATGCTTGCTACCCACTCCAGTCCCTTTTTCTGGAGCCTGGCGGAACCAGTTCATGGCAGCATCACTGAAGGTGAATCCAGAGGCTGCACAGGAGAGTTTCAGGGACTTTCCAGGCTGCGCTAAGCCTCCTCCAGACTCCACCAGCTGTACTTCACACTGGACACCTGCAAACATAGAGGATATTTAACAAGAAACTGTCACGCGTGTCTACTGTCTCTCCCATTCTTGTCTACTCACTCACTCAGTATACCTTGTCATCAACTTTTTATAAGAGCAACAAAGAAAACCCAATGCGGCCCCAACTGATGTTGATTGTCCTGCATTCAGCGCTTGTCACTGAATGGGAAGACAGAGCAAGAGTCGTCTGCCTGACCTTCGGAGTCATGGCAGTGCTGGTTTTCATGAGCAGAGGAAGGACATATTTGCATATCTTCCTGCTATATCTTGTTCTCAGGTTTATGTGAACCTTAGAGGCAGCAGTTAATAGTGCAAATGCCTGAAAGACAAAGAATTCGTGAGGACACTGATTTCAATAAAATATTATTATTTGTTTGTAAAAAGATTCAACATCCTTAATTTATGTTTTTTCATTTTTTAACATGAACACTCCACTGCTTATCTCACCAGATTTTGCACAGTAAGTTCATAGAAGTTTAAAAATTAAAACTGCATTTTGATAATTAAATGCAAACTAATATTAAGATGAATGAATAGTGAAGCATACATTAAATTACAGTGTTGAAACTGGGCTTGGAGACAGCATGGTGGGTAAGTTTAACACGCACAAGGTCCCAAATTTTATCCTCATTATAGAATACACACACACATATATATAGATAGATAGATAGGTAGATATGTATAATATATATTAAATAAATATTAATATTACAGAGACTTTTCCTTGTGAAATACTAACGTCATCACAAAATGATTTACATATATGCCACATATTCGTGTTTGGGTTGTGTTAGTGAATATCATTGGCTTTTGTGACATTAATATTCCTACTCTCTGGTTACCACAGAATGGAGGGGAATCTGGAACATGGTGTGTATTGTTGAGGTTTTATGCAGTCCTGTCTCTCTACTCTGCCTGGTGATATAGGAATTTCTTGGTGGCTGTGGTATATGTCTCAAGACGCACCTGTAATAATAGCCCTGAGTTAGAAAGGAGAGTTGGAAAGTAATTGCTTATTTGACTAATTAATTCAGCTATTAGAAATTTTGTTACAGCTAAGATTTCTTGTGGACTATGACATTATTGTTTCTGTGGCACTTGCAGGAAAGCAATTTAATTTAAAGCAACTAAATGCCCTATGTCTTTCTCTCCTCCTGTCTCCCTCACCTATCTTCCTCCCTGCTATTTCTTATGCACTCTTCCTTGTTAGCGATGGTTGTTAATCCACCCTTACAAAATATCCTACGCTCTTTCCCTGACTTACATGCAGTCATGGAAGTTCTACAAAGAGTGAGGACTCCCTTATCATTATATCCATGTAGCAGCTACCTCCAAATCAAAGGGGACCCCTTCTCACAAACTTCCTTTGCTAGCTTTAGGCGAACAAAATAGGATATAAAACACGTGTTATTTTTCCCACATTCTATTGATTTTTATCTTATGTGAATAATTTAATTTATAGCTCATTCATAGCTACTCCAAAAATGTTTCTAGAACCTTCTATGTAAGAGCTATGAATATAATGATGTATTGCTGCAGTTTTTCCTATATTTGCTTTTTATTTATTTATGTATTTATTTTTGATTTTTTTTTGAGACAGGGTTTCTCTGTATTGTTTTGGAGGCTGTCGGTCCAGCCTGGACTCGAACTCACAGACATCTGCCTGCCTCTGCCTCCTGAGTGCTGGGATTAAAGGAGTGTGCCACCACCGCTCGGCCCATATTTGCTTTTTAAATAAAAGAATAATATCCATGGATGAGGCCACTGTTAAACAGCTGGTCAAGGTATGGTGAGGTCTAAGGGCAGAGGAAATCAACATAACTTATTCCCTTCAGTCCTTTTGAAACGTTGACAAAACTATCTAAGTCTGGGAAGTCACAAAGGAACACTCAGTATGATGATTTATGGCCAAATCACCAGGCTGATCCTCTCTATAATCTCAGTCCCAGGGCAGGTTCCTCCTCCTGCAGGGTTTCTGACACACTCAGGATGTGGTTGCAACACTGTGTCTCTTGCACAGTAATAGACTGCAGAATCCTCAGAAGTCAGGCTCTTGAGCTCCATGTAGGCTGTGCTGGAGGATGTATCTGCAGTCAGGGTGGCCGTGCCCTGGAACTTCTGATTGTACTTAGTATTACCATTATTAGGATAAATCCATCCAATCCACTCCAGGCTCTGTCCAGGCCTCTGCTTTACCCAGTGCATATAATAGGTAGTGAAGGTGTATCCTGAAGTCTTGCAGGACAGCTTCACTGAAGCTCCAGGCTTCACCAGCTCAGACTCAGATTGCAGCAGCTGGACCTGGGAGTGGACACCTGTGGAGAGAAGGCAAAGTGGATGTCACTCTCCCCTGAGTACATGGCCCCTCCTCAAGTCTGGAACTTGGAGTCCCTTACCTGTAGCTGCTGTCACCAGGAAGAGGATGATCCAACTCCATCCCATGGCGAGGACCTGTGTGCTCAGTGACTGTGGAGAGGACACTGATCATATGCTGTTATTGTTGTAGACATGCCTGTATTTACCACCATATACTCACTTGATTTACATATTCATGAGCAGGCAGCTTCTTAGATAAGGACCTAGTCCAGCTGAAGCAGAAGATGTCAGACACCTGTATCAGGCAGCAGGATACTGAGATCCCATCCTAATCCTCTCTAAGAATATGTATATCATCCTTCTTCCCAGGGACCTCAGATGATGCTGAGGAAGAAACATCATACCCTAAGGTCTCAAAGGATGTCAGGACTGAGACAGTTGTTACACCTGGGACAAGGTTATCAGATTTATTTACAGTGGTTTGCTGGGATGATGGTGATAGTGATGAGAAATTTAAAACCTACTGAGTATTAAATTTACAGCCTCTTTAAAATATATGCAATGAATATTTGCCTGTATACTGAAAATTCTACCAAATGAACAAAAGAAAATATACTTCAGAAATCAAGTAAACACCTTGATTACTGAAGCAATATCACAAAAACACAATTATGGAAATAAACTATATATCTTTCAACCGAGGATCTCATCAAGAAGAATGTTTATATAAACAACTCAACAGAAGTTATGCATCTACAAGGAATACGAAACTTACATCAGTTAGGATGCAACTAGAGATAAATGCATTAGTTAAGGCAATCGCAGAAATCAGGTATCAAATGAGACTCTCATCAGTAGTTCTTAGATATCGCATGCTTACATAGAACTATAAATAAAAATACATGATGAAGTACAAGTTAAGTGTGTTGTCTAGTAGAGTGAACTAGGAGGGGAGAGAAAATGAAGGGAAGAGATTATGGGGGGAATAACACAAAGAACAGAATACATGAGTATGAAAATTCTGAAACTATGTAAAATTGATATTTTGCAGTTCATAATTTATATTTTAATTTAATCCATGTATAAAACATAGTATGATCATATCTATACCCACTACGCACTATGTTTCCTTTTCATGCTTTCCAATAAGTCTCTGTCCCTCTTCATGTCCTCTCTTGTTTTACTAACTAATATGACATTGATACAATCATCTTTATCTATATACACATAGGGGGAGTGGTTTAAGGATGAGGACGTCTCATCTTGTCTACCTTAAGGATCCTGAGTGAGAACGATGGCAGTCTGGACTTATTGTACATTATTCTATATTCTTTTCCCAAGACACAAATTCATATATTAGGCTAGGTTATCCCCATTTGACTACACACCTTTTTTTTGGAAAAATTACATAGAGAAAAATGAGAGATGAAATAGTAAATATTGGTGAAAGACATGTACTGTGATTATCACCAGCTTCTCCCTCTCTCTTTCCCCTGAGCTGGGGGCTGCACAGGGCATTGTGTGTGTCACACTTTGGGACCAGTTCTCCAACAGCAGAGCTACATGAGCCCCACACTGGTTCCGGAATGCCAAGGACTGAGATCCCAGGTCACAGTCAACTATTCCAGATGAGCAAACCCCTCCCCCAGGGCACAGAAACTACAGCTGGAATTACAGATGCTTCTGTTGATGGCTGTGATGCTGATAACTGGAAGTCTGCCTCCTTATGTGTGGAAATGTGTGACCTTCTTACCTGTATGTCCAATGGATGTTTGCCCCTCCAATAAGGTTCACAAATAATGACCTCAATACATATGGGAAATATTACTTAACCAAGAATATTTACACTACTGAGTTTGGAGTCTGACTGCAGTAGCTACACCACGTATATTTCATGGTCTCAGCTGGACGTCAGGCCAGGAAATATTAGGATCTCTGAGGACTCCCTCACTCTCCACATGTTTCTCTCACCTACTGCATTTTCCTTCCTGGTAAATTTGGGTCTGCCGCGCCCCCTGTTGGTCCTGAGCATCCTCACATTGATTAATTATGAAGCTGTTCACCTTTTTTTGTTTCATACTGGCTAGCTCTGACTTAAGTATTTACCCCATAATTGTTAATCTAAGTATTTCTCTTACCGGAGAAAAGGTCCGGACTTTTGATCCCTGTGGCAGCTACATCATAACTCCCTGTGTTTCTCATTCCCAGAATGCTCCTTGACCCCTAGTCCCAGCTAGCTTGCTTCCCTATAGGCCAACAGTGTTTTATTGACATATACACAAGACTTCCCCATCAGGCTCCCAACATCCATTCCTATGCTACGTGTAAATAGTGATCCACTACCACAGGCCCAAAGGATTGCCCAAGCCTAATTGACATCCACATTCAGGGGGTCTGTGTAAGTCCTCTGCTGATTTCTCAGCTATGAGTCTGGGGTCCATGTATTTCTCCCTTTTCAGGTCAGCTGTTTTTATGGGCTTTGCCAGCCTGTTGTTAACTCCTTTGCTCATCACTCCTCCCTCTATGAAACTGGGCATACTATGTGTTTTTTTTGTGTGTGTGACTAGGTTACCTCAGGATGGTTTCTTCTAGTTACATCCATTGGCCTGTGAATTTCAAGATTCCATTGTTCGTTTGTTTGCTTTGCTTAATAATACAGCATTGTATAAATGAACCACATGTTCAATATCCATTATTCAGTTTTGGGGCATCTAGGTCATTTGCAGATTCTGGCTATTACAAATAATGCTGTTATGAACATAAAAGGACATATATCCTTGTTGCATTAATTTGCATCTAAAAATGAATTATAAAAAAGAACAATTTACAACAAAAAAAGATTTAAGACTGTGAAACAAACATTTATTTGTCAGATGTTGGTGATTTGGATTGCACAGTTCAAATGTGTATTGTACTTTATTGTTAGTTTTTGCTGCAAAACATCCCTGCACTCAAGATAAAGATGTATTTCATCAAAATTCTTCATCACAGCTTCACTTTTTATTGTTTTATTAAAGAACTGTGTCAATTAAAGCAGTCACAAGTCAATACTTTCTCATAATATGGTGTCCTCTAGAGGCATCCTAAGAAAAATCCATTTTTGTATTAAGCAATATAGGACTTTGAGAAGGAGGCAGAGAAGGGAACACTAGAATGATTATTTCTGAGCAAGTCCCCAGACTGATCTTTCTGTCATCTCCATTCTTGTGGAGCTTTCTGCTCCTCCAGGGTTTCTGACACACTGAGGATGTGGTTGCACCACTGTGTCTCTTGGACAGAAATAGATGGCAGAGTCCTCGGATGTCAGGCTACAGAGCTCCATGTATGCCGTGCTGGAGGATATGTCTCCAGTCAGCGTGGCCTTGCCCTGGAACTTCTGTGTGTATTTTGTATCACCACTTGATGTACCAATCCATCCAATCCACTCCAGGCCCTGTCCAGGCCTCTGTTTCGCCCAGTGCATAGTGTAGCCCATGAAGGTGTAGCCAGAAGCCTTGCATGACAACTTAACTGAGGAACCAGGTTTCCCAAGCTCAGGCCCAGACTGCTGCAGCTGGACCTGTGATTGGACACCTGTAGAGAAAAATACATATTAGGGGTCACCTCAGAACCAGTTTTTTCTCCAGGTTTGGAAGTTGGAGCCACTTACCTGTAGTTACTGTCACAAGGAAGAGGATGATCCAACTCCATCCCATGGTGAGGACCAGTGTGTTCAGTAGCTGTGGAGTGGACACTGATCATATGTTGTGGGTGATGTGGACATCTCTGTATTTACCACCATAGACTCAGATGATTTGAATATTCATGACAATGGTACTTTTAATGGTCCTTTTTAATAAGGGCATGGTCCTACTGGAGAAGAAGTTAGCAGACACCTGGATCAGACAGCAGGATGCTGAGTTCCCCGTCTTAATTCTCTCTGAGGATATGTATAGTATCCTACTTCCCTGAGTCTTCTGGAGATAATGAGGAAGTAACATCAGGATCTAACTCTCAATATTATCAGATCTGATACAGAGGCTCCACTTGGAACAAGGTTATCAGACTTATTTAAAGATGGTGCCTGAGAAAATGATGACATTGATGGGAATTTTAAACCTGCTGAGGTGGAATTTTAAAGACTCCTTTCTGATATATGTAATTAATATTTACCTTTCCATAAAACTGTATAATAAAACTCTATCAAATGAACCGAAGCAAATATACCTCCCAAATATTTGCACAACAGTGCTTACTGTAGCAATGTAAAACTTACTAAATTATGTATCTTGCAAAAGACGATCTCATCAAGAAGACACCTTTATATAAACAATACAGCATAAAATTTTCATCTACAAGGAATTCGGAATTATGTCAGTGATAGAAAAATGGATGCAGCTAGATAAATATGTGTTAAGACCATCTCAGAAATCAGACATTAAATCAGACTCTCCTCAGTAGTTCATAGGTATCACATGGTTACGTACAAGTATGAATAAAAATACATGATGAAGTGCAAGTGAAATCGATTATTAGGATAAAAGTAAAGGAGGAGGGGAAAATGAGAGTAGAGATTATGGGTGAAAGAGTTGTATGAAATACATGTGTATGAAATTTCAAAACTATGTAAAATTGGTATTTTACAGTTTATATTTTTTGAAATTTGATCCATGTACAAAATATCATATGAACATATCTATACTCATTATGCCCCACTCATTCCTCTTGGGATTTTGCAGTAAGTCTCTGTCTGTCTTTGGTTCCTCTATTGTTTCCGTAACTACTAGTACAATGAATCCAATTAATTCTGTCTGTATACACATAGATAGAGTCTTTTAATTGTATACCAGAAAGAAAACTGGTTCTTGAAAGAAAGTTAATCCCTTATAAAAAATCACAATTAAACTCAAGAATCTCCATATTAAGATGAAGTTCTTCACAGCTAAAATTGGAGTTGGCCTTTAACCAACAATGACACTTTCTGGGAGTAAATCTGAACACCAGGACAGATGCATTACATACATGCAGGACATTCCAACGCCTTGAAGAATACTCATCCTTTAAACATAAGAAAGGACCATGAGCAAGCTGATCTTCGCTGATTTACAGAGCATGGGGAATAGATCGAGGGGGCCTGCACATCACAATCTCATATATCACATTGTGAGAACTCACCTGTGAAGGACACTGCAGTGGTGTAC